CCCCTTCCCCGTCCCTGAACCCCCCCCCACCCCCCCCCCCTCCCCCACCCCCTTGAACCCCCGTTTCCCTACTCCCCTCACTGCTCCTCCTCTAGTTCCCCTTCCAGCTCCCCCCGGCTCTTTCTGACCTGCTCCTCAGGTTCCGGCAGTGCTTCGAGTCGTTCTCCAAGAGGATGCAGCTATCAATCGTATGCCCCCCCCCCTCCCCTCCCCTTCCCCGCTCCTCCTCACCCTTCCAACAGGAAGCGAGGGACGATCCAGACTTTTCCTTCTCCCTCTCCGCCTTGTCCGTGCTCGCCAACGACCAGGTCCCCCTCCGACATTGGTCACGCCCTCTGACTCGCTCCTTCCAAGTCACCGACGTGGGATATTTTCTCCACGTTCCCTGACCCGACCAAGAGGTCAGAGCAAAACGCAATACCAGGGGCAGGAGGAGGGGCAGGAGGAGGGGCACAGGAGAAGGGGAAGGCAGGAGGAGGAGGGGCAGAAGCACGAGCACAGGAGAAGGAGCAGGGGCAGGAGCAGGCTTGTGAGATTGGTTGTCAGGTTCGTCAGCAACCAGCTCGTCCTGCGGCTGTGCTCCTCGATCTGCGAGCTGGTCATGGAGGCGGACGCGCACGGGAGGAAGCGGTGGCTGGAGGAGGCAAGGCGAGGAGGGGCGGCGACTGATGCAGCAGCAGGTACAGCACAGGAGTCAAGGAGGAAGCAGACATGCCCTGCTCCGAGGATCGTCTGCCCTTGAGGACTCAGGTACATGTCAACATCTGCGGTGCTCCTGCGCCTGATGCTCATGGCAGCATGGCGACCCGGTCAGCAGCGCCACAGACAACGCCTTGGTGAGAAGAGACTACTCCTCCTTCTCCTCCACCACCACCTCCTCTGCAGTCAAGTCATACAGGCTGACCTGCTTGCAGATCCTCTCGCAGATCCTGTTGAACTTCATGGCCAACTCCAAGATCGCCTCCAACTTGTCCAACAACAGTCTGGTCTGCCGTTCCGGGGGGGGAGGAAGAGGCAAGAGCTGACTGGGCGTCTACAGTGCCTGCGGCAGCTTCTGCGCAGCATGAAGTTTGGGTTTGCTGCCATCAACGTCAACGTCATGAAGGTTTTTGTCTCCGTCTGCCCCCAGCCCTGACCCTCTTCCCAAGATCCTGCTGAGGGTGGGCAGAGCCGCCACGAGCCAGCACGTGATCGAGGGGTGAGCTCCTGCCCTGCTCCTGCTCCTGCTCCTGCTGCCCCTCCTGCTGCTCCTTCCCTCTCGCTCCCACCATAGCTGACATCGCGTCCTCTCTTGTCAAGGTGCCTCGATGTCCTCATGTGGCAACTGGGTCATGTAAGATACTCCATTGGAACTTCCCGGATGGGCCTGCTGAACTTTCTGCTTTCTCCTCCTCTCCTGCTCGTCCTCCTCTTCCTCCTCTTCCTCGTCTTCCTCGTCGTCATCCCTGGCATCCTTTTCATCCTCCCCTCGCCTGCTTCGTCTTGCCTCCACCATGCCATTCTTGTGTATTTCCTCCCTCACCCTCTTTTCCATCAGAACGACGAGGCGTTAGTGATGTCAACCTGCCTCGAGTCCATCTCCTTGTACGTGGAGACAGAAGACGCGCAGGCGGCAAGGGAAAGGTTCTGAAGATCCTTCGTGTCCTGTCGCATCCTGTCCCCTCCCCTCCCCTCCCCTCCCTCCTCTCCTCCCCTCCCCTCCCCTCCCCTCCCCTCCCCTCCCCTCCCTTCCCCTCCCCTCTCCTCC